GAATAGATTACTACCACATAACGAGGAGAAAAACGGGATTACTCTATGTTACAAGCTCAAAAATGTAAAACTGTCAGAGATGATGAATTAAAAATGATACTAATTAAGGGCAACCACAACCAACACCAAGTTAGATCAATCAGACTATAACAATCCATAGATAATCTGATCATGTGTAATTATCTCCAGCCAAACAACCCTACATCAAGAAGATTTACACCGATAACAATCAATCAGTTCTGCCAAAGATTCTACTACTGCAGCACCATTGACAGTAACCTCTCAGTTTTAAGCAACAATAGTGTACTAATTAGTTCTGTCAAGGTACTACTATAATAATGCCATTGACAATAACCCCTTGGACAACAAGTGACACAAATAATAAATTGAATGACATGTGTTCATTTTTTATTATGTAACTTGTCCTTGGTTTAGTATCATTGGTAGATAATGTTTAAAGACAGTCTTAAATAAAAGTTTATTTTCCAAAAATCTAAATAAATGCTTAAACTCTCCAAAAGTGGTATTTAAATTTCAAAGGTAACCTTTGAAGAAAAGTTTCATCAATATACTAGTGTCAGTCGCTGATCTAATATATCTAATGGTTATGTTTACAACCATTCTGAGTTGATATGATAATTAGAATGTTTTCCCTTAAGTTATTAGGAAGAACTTTTATTTCTCCATCAGGAATCACGCAGTTTGGATCCATTTATTATGGAGCGGTAATACCAATTGAGGATAAAGCCAAAGATAAATTTGTTGTGGCTGAGCATCTGAAGAGCTGTATTAAAGTAGCAGAAGCGATATTCATTTTTAATGTATTTAAACAAACTGGACACTTAGGAGTGAGTCAACATTAAGGTTTGTTCATAAAATGATTCTGACTGATACCAAATCAACAACTATATCATCAAAAGTATATCATCAAAAGTTACGAACTATACCAGTCAATAGATCTAGTACCTGTATAGTGCATGAAAAAGATATTATGTGTTAAAGAGGAGTATATTGGCCTTGGATATTATGCATTATGGTTTTAAAAAATTTGTATTTAGTTATGGACAATAATTTTTTAATAATTTATATAAAATGTGTTCAACTTATTAAACAATTATTACAAAGAAGCTGTTACCTTATTTAAAAGAATTTTACCTATTGAAGAGATCAAAGTTTAAAAGCTATTTAATCCAAATGTAGTTAACAAATGTAGTTAATAAAATTTCAAATAGTTTTTGTTTTAATTTTAGCTGAGTTTTTTTTTTTTAGAATTTTAGAAACTATATGCTCTGGTCATTCACAATGTGTATACTCTATATACATCAATATACTACAGTCTTGTCAAAAAGTCATCACTTTTTGATTGATTAGAACAGGCAGCTTATCTTAAATTTGATACCTCTTGGAGCTTGCAGCAGTGAATTTTAACCAAACTCAATTGTTTACTGCTGATAATTATTGCAATTCATATTTATGATGCAACACTCTTTTTGGGTTATCACATCTGACCTCTTATTTAAATTATATATACAATCAATTCAGTGCTTGAATTAACCCAAAAAAATCTAATCATAACAAAAAGTTTTTTTTTTTGTGTCTTTTGTTCAAAATTTTTGTTTTTTTAACATATTATCTTTAATATTTAAATATTATCTTATAATTTTCTTGTTTGGCAGAGTTTTAAATAGAGTAAGTTATTATTATAATTTATAGCTTATGTTATAATTTAAATTTTAAGTTGCAGTTATAGTGTAATGAGCAAGTAATGTATTTAATACTATTAAGATATTACTTTTAGTAATTGTTTTTACTTAACATAAAAAAAAGTAAAAAAATAAGAGTAAAAACACAAATATTACAATATTAATTAATTAATTACAATATTAATTAATTAATCAGCCACTTTAATTACAATATTAATTAATTAATCAGCCACTTTAATTACAATATTAATTAATTAATCAGCCACTTTAATTACAATATTAATTAATTAATCAGCCACTTTAATTACAATATTAATTAATTAATCAGCCACTTTAATTACAATATTAATTAATTAATCAGCCACTTTAATTACAATATTAATTAATTAATCAGCCACTTTAATTACAATATTAATTAATTAATCAGCCACTTTAATTACAATATTAATTAATTAATCAGCCACTTTAATTACAATATTAATTAATTAATCAGCCACTTTAATTACAATATTAATTAATTAATCAGCCACTTTAATTACAATATTAATTAATTAATCAGCCACTTTAATTACAATATTAATTAATTAATCAGCCACTTTAATTACAATATTAATTAATTAATCAGCCACTTTAATTACAATATTAATTAATTAATCAGCCACTTTAATTAGTCATAGAAAACTATTTAATACATTTGTGCTGACAATAAAACATGTTATAAATAAATGTAGGACTAATGTAGGTGAAACTCCATCCTCAGGGCCACAATATATTCACCAATGATGTTTCAGAGAGCCTGATAAAAATGGCTAGCATCACTCGTCAGGGATGCATCCTTGCTATCTCTATTATTTATGCTGACAATAAAACACATGTTATTTTTAAAGAGTATTGAATTGTTGTTGTAAAAAGCTATAAAACAACAATAAAACAGACTGCAAAGTTGTTTTAACAATATAAAGAACTTGTGTTAATGTAAAACAACTTTGTGACACTGTTTTATTGCTGCTATTACAGTTTGTAACCTTAATAACATAAAAACTAAGTGAATACATAGAATTGTTTTAATTAATAAATTAAAACATTATTGTCATAAAACTTAAACTTCATATTTGCACAAAAACATGACTATAGACCATACGAGTCTATAATCTATAGACCAAACAAGTAAAATCAAAACAAATAAACATTAGATACCACGTTTTTTTTATAATTTATTGTTTCTTGCATAATTTAGTTTTTCATTCAAATGGTTTTAAAGTTGATGTTTTCACTAAATTTTTTCATTCAAATTGTGTTGCCACAAAAAGTAAAACAATAAAGTTTAATAAATCGAATTATATTTTCTTAAGTTGAAGGATATGTTTAAATTATTTTTTCAGAAAAAAATTTTTTTGAACAGAAGTAAAATAATTTTTTAATTTTAATTTTAATTTTTTATAATTTAATTTTTATTTTAACTTTTGCAATCACTGGTTTACTATTTGCAATAGAATGTTTCTACTTTTAAAACTATTTTGAAGAAAGAAAATAAAATTAACTATTCAAAATATTTATTATTTAAATAAAACTTTCTTCCTCACTTGCACCTGAGCATTAAAATTCTTTTAAGTTTTTCCAAAATTTTTCAATTTAAAATTTCAATTGCAAAATTATTTGAAGAAGAGAATTTTAGAATACTAAAATTCTTTTGTTCAAATAGATTTCTTTTTAAATAAAATTCCTAAAAACAACTTGCGTATAGATTATAGAAAATGTTCAATCTTGATATTGCTTTAAATAATATATTTAAAAATGTTATTGCATTTTTTATATTCTATTCAAGATTTCTTGTTAAAATAATTTTTAGTTAGAAGCTTATATTATGTGTAAACAACATATAAGATATAAATAAAAACATTTATAAGGCTAATTTTTGCAAGTCTTTGAGTATATAAGGTAAATTTAATAGTTAAGTATCTGTAAGTTACTGTAGTAACTTAATTGGTTGTTTTGATTTATTTTAAAGGTAAATTTACTGTGATGTATTTTATCCATTTAGTAAATCAAACTTAATATTACTTTAAAATGATATATTATGATATATAAAATGATAGATTAGTATTTAGATATCGGCTTCCACGCAGAAATTTAAATTAATTTAAATTCAATAGGGCTTGATGTTGAATAAAATCTCTACGCTAGAGAGCAAAGATCATGCTTCTATTCAAAAGATAAATTTAGCTTGATGTACTTTATGACCCCTAATAAAAAACTTTTACAAAAACATTGCTTTTAAGAATGACCAAAAAAAAATGCTAAATTTGAAAAGAAAATAAAAATTAACAAAAAAATAATAATAAAAAAACAAACAAATCGCGAAAATATTTTTTTTAAGATCATGCTTCTATTCAAAAGATAAATTTAGCTTGATGTACTTTATGACCCCTAATAAAAAACTTTTACAAAAACATTGCTTTTAAGAATGACCAAAAAAAAATGCTAAATTTGAAAAGAAAATAAAAATTAACAAAAAAATAATAATAAAAAAACAAACAAATCGCGAAAATATTTTTTTTAAGCTAAAACTAATCATGAAGGTGGGAAAAGCAATCACAATTCGTAATTGCAATACTCTAAATTTAAGCCCTGCAATCGCAAAGTATCTTTTTACATTTTAGTCGTCTCTTTTTATCATTTGCCATGATAAAAAGAGACGACTGATGATTTTGCCATTTCCTTATATTTTCTACCTCTATAGATTTTTCATTTGTCTTTGTATGGAATACTGTTGTTACATTTGGGCTGGTTGTTCTGAGACCCTCTTTCTTTTAGAAGAAGTTCAAAAATGTAATGTAAATGTTATCTGACCTGCTTTAGCTATTGAACTAGACCATCTTTTCTTAAACTACTATCATGGTTGCTGCTTAACAAGCTACCATCACTTGTTTCATCAACCAAAACTCAATCGCATATGACTCATCATTAAGTCACAAATTTGTATCATTTTACTGTAACTTTAAATTTTATAACTGAAACTTTATTCTTAAAATTTTTTATTTTGATGGCTGCATATAATGAATAGATTAAAATATAGGTAAAGAAAACATAGTGCATAATGCAAAGTGCAATTAAAGTATAATTATAATTCCTTTTTACTATTATTATTAATATTAGGTTGTTATTTATAATCATTATAAAGGTCCAAAATAAACTATACTCTGATTTGTTAGAAGATCTGATGGGTGTTGATGTATGGCACTTAATTTAAACCCTCTATTTTAATCAATTTTAATAATCAGTGTTTATTATTTTAAGCCAATGGCGATTATCTATTTGAATATTCCAGAGAGTATGGACTTCTACATCTATCTTTTGATGCAAGAAGAAGATTAAAAATTCCTGTTAAAACAATATTATTAGGTAATTTTATATATGATTAATTATAAGGTTTTTATATATATGCTTAGTTATTACATAATTATATATATATGATTAATTATTACATCTTCTTCTTATAATTGTATATATGGTTAATTATTACATAATTATATATATGCTATATGCATTTGTTTATTAAACTTAATACATGCAACTACCTAATTTTTCTTAATTTAACTTTTTAATATTATTTTTTGTTCTTTTTTTTTTGAAATATATATTTGAATGTTTTAATATGAGTATGTTTTATATATCTATTTTAACTTTTTATCTATTTTATTAAGTTTTAACATGAAGTTTTTTTATTTTCATAACAATAGTAAAATATGGTTTATAATCAGTTTACTATAATTAACAAAAACTGTGTTTATCAGTATTGATAAGGTCAATGTGACTTTACTGAACTAATTTTCTATAGTAAGTTATGGAAATAGCCTGGGATTGTGCTTTTAATATGCTTGGGAAAAAGACAGGCTTAGCTTGTTTACTTTTGAATTAGAATTTCCAATCTAAAATGTAATAGAGATGATAGAGCACAATATGCAGACCTGTGAACATTAAATGATTTTCTAAAATGTAATAGAGATGATAGAGCACAATATGCAGACCTGTGAACATTTAATGATTTTCTAAAATGTAATAGAGATGATAGAGCACAATATGCAGACCTGTGAACATTTAATGATTTTCTAAAATGTAATAGAGATGATAGAGCACAATATGCAGACCTGTGAACATTTAATGATTTTCTAAAATGTAATAGAGATAATAGAGCACAATATGCAGACCTGTGAACATTTAATGATTTTCTAAAATGTAATAGAGATGATAGAGCACAATATGCAGACCTGTGAACATTTAATAATTTTCTAGTATAAGTTCAAATTTCAAACATAGGACTTGAACTAGAAAATCTATTAAGAATTAAAAGCTTTTTTTTTATTATTAAAACCAAATTAGGCATCAAGAAACAACTAATTAATTTGGGAGTTAAAAGAGAACACAAAAATGAGACTTTAAAAACGATTGACAGAAGACTTATAAAATTGTTAACTGTATGAATTGTGAAAACATTAAGAGAAAATTTCAAAGTACTAATGTTCAAGGAAAAAATTAGAATACAAAAAGTTTTTTGAGCATGAAAAAGTATTTACAGTAAAAAGACTTTGAATGGCTAGTCACATTTTAATTTTTTAATTTGTTGAACAAGTGATGATAATTTGGTTGAACAAGTGATGATAATTTGGTTGAGCAGCCATCATTATTTGTAGAAAAAATAAAGAGATACAACTTTACAGCATGCAATTTCTTTTTGCATTGATTTCTTGCAATAAAAAAATGTTGGTTTTCTAGAGAGTTGTGCATTTAATAAAGATAAAAAAAAAAAGATTACAATTAAAATAGCAGCTGCACAAAAAGAAGAAAACTACAGGGTATTTGGTGAGATTTTACTCCCAACTGACAAAAAGGAAATAATGTTTTAATGCCTGCATCAACCCAGGTGGTTATAAAGATGTAATAATAGTTGTCTAATCACCAGTGTTGTAGGAGGATAACAGATATCTGTATTTGTGTTTGCACATAGAGACCATTTCCCCCTGTTTGTTAAGTAAGTTTATGCCTTTATAAATTATTTATGGTATCAACTACAATTATTATGGTATCAAAATTACTACATTGATTATGGTATCAAAACTTCAAAATGCTCTCTGCAAACTAAAGAAAAGTCTGCTTTTGAAAAAGATTTAATACATCTAGTTAAAGCTATAAAATTTAGCAACATCAACAATGCGTATCAAGAAAAATAATCAGAGCGTATCAAGCGTATCAAAATAATTCAGGGTATCAAATCCTTATAATCATAAAACCTTAACTTATGCTCAAATAAATTAACTCCTTAAGAATGCAATCACTTTTATTTATAGAAAACCCTAAACTTAAAGATCAAGTAAACAGAGAAAGTAAGCAACTTTTAATTAGTTATTCAGTTTTTTAATAAAAAATGGAATTTCTGAATGCTTTATAATATTACAAGACCGCAAGGCTAATTTTTTAAATAACTATACTATCTGACTTCTAATTCCTGTAAAGAATGAAGAATTTCAAAAGTTTGTTTATCACATATAAATTCAGCGTTAAGAGCACAACTTTATTTAAATCAAGAGCAAAACACCTTAAGGCGTAATAAATTGGTTTTAAGGTATTAATGAAAGAAGCTGTTGTAAATTTTTAGTCTTCAACATCAATGATTTCTATCCATCAATCTCCAAAAATCTTCTATTAGAGACAATTACTTTTACTAAGCAGCATGTATTTGTAAGTGAAGGACATAGTGCATATACAACATGCAAGAAAATCTTTATTGCAGAGGTATGCAAACTAGTTGGTATCTTTATTTTGTTTCAGCTTTTGCAATTTTATAAGAACCATTTTTGTCTGTATTGAGATGATGATGTAGCTATTTTCAAGAATAAAAGTGAACAAAAAATAGAAAAAATAAATTTTATGCAAATTTTTAAAACTCATATTCTTCGTCTATAAATGAAAATCATCTTCTTGATCCTAAATCTTTCCGACAATTCATTCCAACCTTACAGTAAACTGGAAAATTCCCATAGTTACATTTCTTTGGAAAGCTCTGTGTTATGTTTATACTTTTTGGTGTTAAATGATTTTAAATAGTTTTTGTAAAAAACTTTAAAAGAGGTTGTGATTGAGCCAATATATACTTTATCTTTGTATTCAGGACATACTGTTGGTATACAATGTAATTAGATAGACATTTGTTGCTTAATGGGCAGGCAGATTTATTAAAGCAGTTAAAGTTTTTTTTCTCGACATGCAAATTTTTAAAATGAATTTTAAAAATTTGCATAAAATACAACCCATTTTTCAAAATTTATCATCTTTGTTTAAATGAAAAATTTAAAATCTTATTTTATAAAGGCACAAACTTACTTAACAAACAAGACAAAATGGTCTCTATGTGAAAACACAAAACAAATTGCTGTTGTTCTCCTACGACACTGGTTATTAGGCAACCATTATCATATCTTATTTTTTCTGTCGCTGTAGAGATTTCAGAACTTGTTTCTTTTTTGAACATCTTCACTTCCAACAAGGCTGCAAGCAAACACTATTAGAGTTGGAAGTTACAGAAGGAAAAAAGATAAAGTTTATAAAGATAAAAACAAGATGAAGAAAGCTAATACCAAAGTACTGATGTTAAGGAAAAAGACTAGGCAAATAAGAATTTTTAAAGCACTTAGGAACAGTAGGATGAAACTTAAAAAAGAGGCTCTAGCTCTTTAGAGCAGCTCCCATTATAGTATTTATAGAAAAGAGCAAAAGAAGCAACATTACAACAATGTGACAAGTTGATTGAAGTTTGGCTGCAAGAGCAGGTCAAATTGTGTTTACAATGCATTTTTGCACCTTGTCTAAAAGAGAAAGAGCGCTATTAAAAGATTTGCTCCAGATATGGCAACAGTATTCCATACAAAGACAGATTTGAGATTTATAGAGATAAAGAGTTGAATCCTGAGTAAGAAAGTGTCAAGCAAGATAAAGAGATTGCAAAATTAGCAACCTTAGTAGATGCTATTTTTGCAATCCATTTGATGATGGTTTGATGTGGTTGATTTAATATGGTTTCCAAGAAAGATCGGAAGTTAATCCTAGAAAGAATTTATCCTAGAAGACAGATGGTAGAGAACTCATCAAGTACATTACCGTTCATGAATATAGGAAGATCTAGACTGTTGCGATTATGATTAACTAAAAAAAAAAAGAGCTTTATCTGATTTAAAGTTTGCCAGTCACTGAGAGTCCCATGCTGTAGCAGAAGTGAGATCTTTTTCAAGCTCAAATGCCCCTTCGAAGCATTCAGAGAGTGTTGGCTACTTATCAAGACAGGAATAAATGGTAGTATCATCAGTAAACAATTCAACCTTAGGTGTGAGAATTCAGGGAGATCAAAAAAATAAATTAAAAAAGGTGTAGAGCCAAGGATAGAACCTTGTGGAACCCCTAGAGTTATAAAAAAAAAAGTATAGTACTGTCCATGGTGGACAACTTTTATACTACAATTGGTACGGAAGGATTCAATAATCTTAAAGATTTTATCTGATACACCGTAAAAAGAAATCGTATGGAGAAGATTGGAATGCCAAATTTTATCAAAGGCTTTATCAGAAGGTATACCAAGAGCAATAGCCTTAACCTCTCCACATCTATCTAATGCACAATAAAACCTATCAGTTATTACAGTTAACAAATCAGCAGTAGAACAAGAAGATTGAAAACCATATTAATGATCAGAAGGTAAGTTATTAGATTTAAGATGAGTAGTCAAGTGTTTATTAATTAAAGACTCAAAAAAATTGCTTATGATAGGAAGAAGACTAATGGGGCTATAACAGGTATGTTGTCCCGAACACAAGCTATAAAAGAGTCTAAGCAGGAAATCATTTAAGATACAGAAACTGGAGTGATACGAATGTCAACCATGTTTGTTGGCTATATTAGGTAGGATGTGATTAGTAGAATCAAGAGATGAGATTGATAAAAATTACATAGAAAACAACTCAGTTTTGTCTCAGTTTGTTAAGGTAACAAAATCTGAGCCTTGCAGGAGAGGAGGAATAACAGAATTTCCCTTATTTTAGATACTGTTGATTCTCCATAAGTCTCTGGAGCCTAATTTTTTAGAAATATTATGAGATTTTGTGACCTGAGAATAACGGGCTTTGGCGTTAAACAAAACCTTTTTGCGATGGTTTCTTGCAATAGTAAGTAGATGTCTGTATTCTGGAGAATTGTTTTGGCAATAAATATGGAAGTAATGATTACGATTAGAACTTGCAGCAGTATGAGTGGAAAACCATGGAAAAGAGTGAGGCTTGGCTAGGCATTGTTAAGAGGAAATAAAAGATTCCATGCCAGCCAGAATCCAAGAAGTTACATAAGACACATTTGTCAGCAGGTAGAAAAAAAATTTCTACCCAAGGGCCATCACGAAGGAAATTATGGAAAGAGTCCCAGTCAGCTTTAAGGTAGTTGTAAGAGGTATGATGATGGGGGATTCTGATGATGAAGAAGAATGAGATATTAGTTTTAGAGAGATCAAACCTTGATCAGAAGCACCCAAGGATGAATGTGGAAAAACTGAGCACTGACTAGAATCAGAAGCAAGACATAAATCAAGTAGAGATGGTAAAGGATTTAGATCCTCCTCCCCCCTACTATGTCATTATTTCAATTAAGTCTAGCAATGGAAAAGTAATTTCAGTTATTTGTGATGGCAATCGAATAAATCAAGCTTTTTTTAAAATTATTTGAGAGAGTTAAAGGAAAACCATGGTTAACAAAATGTGGAATTTTCTCCTTTTTGATTATGTTCATCTACTAAAAAATATTAGGAATAACTGGATTACAGAAAAAATGCAGGAATTACAATTTGAAAAAGACCAAAATTTGACTGCCTAATGAGTGACCTTAAATGTATCTTAGATTTTAAGAAAGATCAGCTAATTAAGTTATCAAGACTAAATTTTGTAGCTATACATCCAAAACCCATTGAAAAACAAAAAGTATCACATTGTTTAAGAGTATTTTGTGATGAAACTATAGCTGCTCTTAAAACTTATTCAAAAGTTATCCACCCTTGCAATATGAATAAAACCATTTGTTTTTTAGAAAAAGTTACTAAATTTTGGAAAATTGTAAGTGTAAAAGAAATTTATGGTGATATGAAATTTTTAGATTCTCATAAGAGAGTTATTTCTCAAGAATTAGACATAAATTTGCAGTACTTACTTGATTTTGGAGATATGGCATTTAAAATGAGTGGTGAACAAGGTCATAGAATGAAATCCTTATCTAAACATACAGGTACTTCAATTTGGCATACATGTTATGAGTCGTCGAGATGTGTAAATATTTGCTAAAAAACAATTTTGATTATGTAATGTTAGGAGAGTTTTCAACAGATTACATTGAAAAAGCATTCAGTATGTTTAGGCAAGGTTCAGGTGGAACATGTTTTATAACAGTTCAAAATGTTGTTGAAAAGTTAAACATTGAAAAAGCTAAACTGTTATTGCAATTAAAAGTTGATGTTACAGATTATGCTATTGATATCGAGCATTCTTGTCAAAAATGTGGCTATTTTATAAGTGAAGAATCTTGTGACATCATTAATCAATTACCTGAACTAGAATCATCTTTGTCATTGAGTACAAAAATGGCTTTGTTTTATATTGCAGGTTATGCTACAAGAATAAATGGTGTTAGTGAAAATGATTTGTTTAATGATACTGCATTTTATTTTATGTTATAAGGAGACTATACAAAAACTATAGACTGCAATGGATTGAATTTACCTCTCAATTGCTGTGTGCAGTGGGTATTTTTTTGTTTCATTATTTTTTAAATTGAGAAAAACAAAATGTGCAGAAAGTCATTGTGTAATACTTTTATGATGATATCTGTTATTTATAAGTTTAATATGTTAAAGAAACATGGTACAATATTATCAAACATATTTCTTAAAAATTATTGTTTGCTTTTTTCACCCAACTCCAATAAGGAACCTGCATTGAAGGTTTTAAAGTTATCTGTATAACATTAAAAAATTATTATGTACATTTTTTTATAACATTATTGATGTATATTTTGATATTTTTTTCTTTTTACTTGATGTATAGTATGATGTTTTTTTGCTTTTTTTTCTTTGCATTTTTTTAAAGTTTTTCATTTTTTTGTGATTTAGATTTTAAATAATTACAACTCATTATTCTGAAAAATATTCTAAAAAAACTTTTCTAGCCATTTTTTATATTTTCTGTAACTTTGTCCGCCCCCAGTCAAAAATATGGATTCCCGAGGGGAAGGCCTGTAATAAGTATCGCCATGATGCCAGCACATAAAAAAACGCTGACCGGATGGTCATTTTTAGGTTTGCGTGCGCGATTTAAAAAATTCATCTTTTTGTGTTATTTAAATTAAAATAAAAACAGCAAAAAGTTTTGAATAAATACTAGATGAAATAGTTAAAAAAAACCCGGCAAAACAAATGTTTTACTTAAATTTGAGGTAAATTAATTAGAACATAAAACAGTAAAAAAATAAAAAATATAAGTTGATTTAAACAAACTAATTAAAATAAAAAATGGAAAGACAAACAAATTATTTAAATTCTAATTGAAAGAATTTTAAAAATGATTAAAAAAAAAAAAAATAACAAAAAAAAAATTTTTTTTGGATAATATTTATATTAAAACAAAATAAATTAAATTAAAACAGAAAGATAAAAATTTTCTTTAAATTCTAAATGAAGTAATTAAAAAATAAGTTTTGCTTTGATCTTAAAACTAAATACAGCATTATTATTTATTACTTTTTCAAAAATTTTTCATGTTTAGTTGCTCTAATATCTCGGGGTTTTTTTTTGTTTTTTTTCAGATCCAAACAATGACAAGTGTTTTGGAAGCAATTTTAATAGATTCTTACTGAAATATTTTTTGGGTTATGACAATATTCTTATGAACAGTATTAAAAGAATTGCAGATACTGATAATAATCTTGGTAAGAGTTTTTTTAATGATTTTTTAAAATCTACACTATTCTTTTTAATGATTTTTTTTAATGCTTGCTTTAAAATTTAAATGATTTAAAAAATTTCTTTTAAGGTTATATGGTGAATGTGGTGACTGGTGAAAACTATAAATTTGTTCCTTCCAGTATTGGAAAAGGATCTTATCTAATTTCGTTTGTTCTTATGTTTTTGTTTGTAGGTGGCATTTTCTCATTTATTATATATGTATATTTATTTAAATTAAAGGGGAGTACCTTCTTTCCTATGTCTTTTTCTTTCTAAAACAAATTGCATATTAGATATATTGGCAGAGTATTCGAAATTGAACAAAGTCATTAGATTTTATTAATTATTTAAATTTGTAATTAAACTAAAAATGTAGATACAGAAGATAGCATTTTTTAAGGTGGCAGTAAATGTTAAGAACAACTTTTTTGTTATTATTAAAGAGAAAGGGTTATATAATTTTGAAAACTTACCCTGACAAATGATGAATACCCTAACAACTGATGGTTAGAATCTACAAAAGTAAATAAAAACCATGGCTGTCTGAATTCTTGAATTTCTAAATAATCATATTTTTCAGTTGAGAAAAGGAAGACACTGATCCAACCACTGTTAAATTTAAAATTGCTGAAAGAATCCCAATCATCTTTAAAACACAAAGACATAAAAAAGAGAAATAAGATATAGAAAAAGTTTTAAATCAGAAATATCTTATGGATATTGAAAGTCAAGTGAGCATATATTAGTTTAAGTGAGCACCAAGGACTACTATATGACAGGATGCACAAACTTGATTTTCTGATTTCGCTAGCGAAGGCCATTATTTCTCTCAAAGTGGAAGCGCTTTTAACGTTACAGTAATATTTTTGAAAATCTATTTCATTATGCCAAATAAATGTGGAATTGTGAATTGTAAAGAAAATTATAATGAACTTAATAAGTGTCGTGTTTTTAAACTATCTAAAGATGAAGTTGAGAAACAGAAATAGATTAGCGTGCTTCCTCCACGTAAAGATTTTTTTATAGAGCCATCTAAATTTTTTATATGTGAAAAAAAATTGGCCTGAAAATACAGAAATAATTAAGCTTCCTGGTGGCTATACTCAACCACTATGTGCACCAAGTATTTTTAATGCTCCTTTTTCTTGTCTACCAACACCAAAGTCAGTGCTTCGCCAATCTAAGCCTGAGGATCAGCAACTTAATTATTTTCATAAAAAAGATAAAATAAATTCGTTTTCTGAATTCTATCCTGACAAAGAATTGCACAAAAAGTATAAAAAATATTGTAATATTTCGGCAAAAAGATAAATTCATATGTATTTTTATGTCGAAGGATTTTAAAGAGAGCTTCATGACAGTAATTGTTTACAATAAGTGTACATTGTGCTAACCACTAATTTTTTCTGCTTTTAAACATGGTATCAGCATTCCATTAAGCAATATATTGAATCCCTTTAATGGCTTAGTCTTCTAATTTTTTGAAGCAGTTAATTTAGTTGATTATTATAATCTGTATTTTAATGATATTGTTGAAAAGGTGACAATTATTCTTTCAGAACATGAATTTAAAATCAATGATGATATCAAGCAAAAGAAACTGAATTTTATTACAAGACAATTTAAACTATTGTGTAACAAAAGTTTTTCTAAAGCTGATTATTGCTTTGCTATTGAGTCTTTTTATAACACCAGCTATGATCAACTTCGTGATTTTTTAGTACTTCCAAGTAAACGAAAACTGCAGTCTATAATTTCTGCCACAAACATTGATTTTTTATTACAAAAAACATTTAAAAAAGTATAGAACGATCATCAGAAAAATGCTTTTTTGATAGTTAATGAGGTAAAAATTAAATAAATCATAAAATCAATCAGCAATACTGCAAAATTTTCAAAAGAATTACTGACTGTCAGGACATCCATCCATTAGATGATCAGCCTGTTTGGTTTCTTTTGTTTGATACAATTCATCTTAAATGTTTGTGTAACAACTGAATTTCTATAAAATTGTCAAAAGTTATCTCTTGACAATAAAACCATTAATTCTTTTTCTGATGTCAAAACCCTATATCATTATGAAAAAGATAATATTTTGAAATCAGTTCCTATATCCCATGCTGCTGTTTATCCTTCTAGACTTCAACTACAGAATGTGCAACATGTTTTAAAAATAATTATTGAGAAAGTAGTAGCTGCTTTGAAACTAAAAGGAGTTCATGAAACATCCTTATTTATTCAGCAGGTTTTAGATGAATGGAATATTGTTAATGTTTCTGCAAAAGGGCAAAATATTAGACTGAGACCACAACCAACCTGTACAAGATGAAAATTTGAACAATCTCCAAATATTTTTAGAACTATTTAAATCTATGAAATCAGGGCATGGACCCAAACAAAGTCAATTACCCATGATACTAAAAAAGCTCTTGTGCAAACCACTGAAGGATTGATAGCTGTCTGCAAGCATTTGCTTTCAGTCGGTTTTGATTTTGTCTTACTTTGTGAGTTACAAAGTGACAGAATTGAAGGAGAATTTTCTGTTTACAGACAATCAACAGGGGCAAATGCTTTTATGGCAGCTAAGGATATTTTTCCTGCTCTAAAAAAGTGTTCAACTCGATTTGCTGCAGCGTTTCTAGAATTAGTGGAAGTAGAACAACCCAATAAAAAAGATCACACATGTGAAGGTCCTATCAGTTTTAAAGATGCGACTTCAATTAAAACTTGCATTTATGATGTGAGTCTTTCAGAAACTGAATAGAGCTCTGCTGCCTATGTGGCAGGATGGCTGGAGAAAAAATGTGAGGGTGAACTAGTTTATGATGAGGATGAACCTATACTAACAAATGAAGGTAAAGACTTTATTAAAGAGGTTTCATGAGGATATTTGACAGTTCCTCATGAGTGTACATATCAGCTAGTTAGAATTGGGTTATACTTTGTGAAAAAAACTAAACACAGAGCATGTTGTAAAAATAGACTTAAAATAAACATTCTGTCTATAATGGATACATATTATGATTTTGCTTTATCATCAAAAAATCTTTATAGGCGTTTGGCTAATGTTCTTTTGTATGGGATTCATAATTTGGAAAAAGACCAAGCTAAAAATGCATGTCTTTATCAGACATCAATTAAAAAGGCATGCCTTGCCGAATAATATTTATAGATAGACTTAGTTAATTTTTTTTTGTTGTTAATTTGCTTATAGAGTTTTATATACTGACTATATATATATATATATATATATATATATATATATATATATATATATATATATATATATATATATATATATATATATATATATATATATATATATATATATATATATATATATATATATATATATATATATATAAAGATATAGATATATAATATATATATATATATATATATATATATATATATATATATATATATATATAATAAATTTAAAATAATTTTATATATTTTATATATATATATATATATATATATATAATATATATATATATATATATATATATATATATATATATATATATATATATATATAAAGATATAGATATATAATATACATATATATATATATAATAAATTTAAAATAATTTTATATATTTTATATATAAATATATAGTATTATATATAATAAAATTAAAAAAATTTTAAATTATTATAAAATCTTCTAGAGAATATTTGTTATTTTGATTTCTTGAATTTTATTTGAATTTTATTTTAGTTGATGATAATGATGCAGAAAACTAACTTTATTAATTTTAAAACAACACAAATCAGAACATTTGGCTTTGCTTCTTAATTTGTATTTTTTTTTTTCAACCTAATATGTGCTCACCAAGGACTACTATATGACAGAACGCAAAAACTCGATTTTCTGATTTTGCTAGCGAAGGCCATTAAATACTTTTTACTAATCGCTTATAAAATTAAGTTTAACCTTATAAATTTAAATTTAAAATGTTTTGTAAAACCAATGTTAATAAAATAATTTTACAGTGAAAATAGGTTAGTATTATTAAAAACTTAATAACAAAGTAAAAGTTAATAACAACTATAAAACTTTTTAAAAAAGAATAAAAAGTCAATTTAGTAAAAACTTTTGAATGTTCATCTGCAAAAAATAAACAAATATTCTCTTGAAGATTTTATAATAATTTTTTTTTAATTTATTATATATATATATATATATATATATATATATATATATATATATATATATATATATATATATATATATATATATATATATATATATATATATATGTATATATATATATATATATATATATAATAAATTTAAAATAATTTTATTTTATGTATATATATATATAATAAATTTAAAATAATTTTATTTTATATATATCTATATATATCTATATATATATATATATCTATATATATATATATATATATATATATATATATATATATATATATATATATATATATATATATATATTATATATATATATATATATATATTTATATATATATATATATATATATATATATATATAATAAATTTAAAATAATTTTATTTTATATATATATATATAATAAATTTAAAATAATTTTATTTTATATATATATATATATATATATATATATATATATATATATATATATATATATATATATATATATATATATATATAGATATATAGATATATATATATATATATATATATATATATATATATATATATATATATATATATATATATATATATATATATATATATATATATATATAGATATATATAAAATAAAATTATTTTAAATTTATTATATATATATATATACATAAAATAAAATTATTTTAAATTTATTATATATATATATATATATATATATATATATATATATATATATATATGTAAATACAGCTATGCGCAAAAGTTTAATTGAGATGGTAATTTTAACCAAACTTTTTAGGGTTCAAACTTTTTCAACTAAAAAAATCAGGAAAATGAGTTTAATTAATTTATATTTATTTTTAAAAGAACAATCTATTAGCTATACAATTAATATTAATAATTAATAGGACAGCTTGAATTACAACTTTTTTTGGATTTAAGTGTTTGGTATTATGGAGATATTTTCTAAAAAGTCCAAAAACACATCCTGGAAAGTTTTATGAAATTAAAATCGCTTCTTCATGAGCGATTTTAGCTTTGAAGTGGGGT